CCTGATAAGTGAGTATGTATCCAGACATAACTACAGGAACCAGGATAACGGAAATGAAACAGGGAGGTAAAGGAAAAGAAAGAACCTGAAAGAGAAGAACAGTAGGAAACAGGCCTTATAGGGAGGTATGGATAAAAATTGGGTTAGTTTAAGGGAGGCGGGAGGGAAGGGTATACAAGGATCCTAGGGGACAAAGGGAAAGAAGGGGCTCAAGAGAGGTAGGACCATAGGTGAAGGGTATTGTTAAGGGAGAAAGGGGGGAAATGGGTGCACCTTAAGAGGGAAAACCATGATGGAGGGGTGAGACAACACGATAGATAAATAATGCCTAGCTACTTTTGAAAACCAGAGAGAACCATATTACTCCAACAACCTACTGACAATGATACATAGCAGATCAAGAAATATATGTCTAGGTAAGGTTTATCTGAGAACAACTGGTCTTTGTCCAAGATTTATCTACATGACACACAGTAATTAAAAGTACCAGACTGGTGGAAACCATGATGGAGGGGTTAGACAATGCGAGAGATACACAATGCCTATCTAGTTTTGAAAACCAGAGGGAATCATATTTCTCCTAAAACCTACTGACAAATTATACATACCTGATCAAGAAATATATATCTACGTAAGGTTTATCTGGGTCACCTGTCCTCTTGATCAAGGAGGCCGAGGAGACCCCACCAGATGGACTTGAACCAGTGTCCAGTCTACAAAAAGGAGGGTCAAAACAGAGGAATCGCTTCCTCCATGCTTCCAAGAGAAGCCAATCACGGTCGAGCAGGACCTTTGACTTATCTTCACATAGGCAGAACTGGTAAAAGAAAGGAGCCAGGGCCTCCTCCTAAGCCCATGTGACCCCTGAGGAACAGATCCTCAAACGACCTTAAGAGTAAAAATAAATTGGTTTATCTGGACCAACTGTATGGCCTTAAACATCCACTTAAGAGTCCATATGCATGCTAAAGGCTACATAACAAGCAACAATGCCAGATAGGAGATACCTTCTTCTGAGTTGTTGGCCAGGGTGGCCAAAGGGATTCCCAGATAGTAACCCAGCATGGAACTGGGAAAATGTAGAGCAGACCCTAATCTTATCTAAAGGAGTATTGACAACTGATTGCAGCTAGAGGAGTAACAGCTTACCTTCCTAAAACAAAGACCTCTAGATAGGCTGACCAGATTCACCAGAAGGGCAAGTAGTCGGGAATGGCTGGGGTGCCAACAACACAGTGGACAGTAGCAGGGATATCAGAGTATAAGGGCTGTAGTGGAAGGAGGGGAGGCTATGGGAGGGTGCCATCTGGGAAGTGGATGTATAGTCATATAAGGTGATTTAGTATGTTCTGTGTGATATACACACAAAAAAATCAACAAATTTTTTTAAAAATGTATAATATTTGAAGAGGAAGCATGGAAATTTATGTCATGATAATTAGCTGAAGTGATAAACTTTACCATTGAAATCTACCCAATGAGTTTATAGATATACACAGGTCCCATGGATCCAAGTGTAACTGATTATGACTAGTAATAATCAGATGCATACAGATTAGAGATGCATGCACCAACATCTCATTGTTAGTAGCAAAAACAATGAGTCTTCCTGCAAGGAACAGTATATTCTAAAATGAAATGGAGGTCTTATTTTAAAGGTTAAAAAACTCAGTTTTATGTCTTACCGGGCTTATACTGAGTTCAATATTGTATAACTGTATTAACTCAATTGTGAACCTAGAAACTTGCACCCACTTGTGAAAGAGATGTACTGTTGCTCTGGAGTATGTTACTGAATATGTTAAATCTGTAGTGAAATACTTCTTCTAGTCATGTAGTTATTAAAAATTTTTAAAAATGATTAAAAAATCCTTCTAAAGTAAAAATAAAAATAAAGAACACTGAAAAAAATCACTGTTAAATGAAGAAATCAAGAGCATATAACCCAAACTGCAGTTGTTTAACATTTAATGTCAATTTGTTAGTATTTAAGCAGAACACAGCAAATAATTTCTAATGTAAACAAAAATTTGGAGTTATTCATGGATGCTATGGGTGTGCATTTCTGTTCATCATTTGTTCTAAGGTAGGAAGCTCATAGATATGGGTACATGCTGTTCTCACTCACCACTGAGCCTTTTCTAATATTTTAAAATCACGCTGTGGTTGAAAATCCAAATTTAGAAAACAGAGCATTTTGACCAGTATATTGTAGGTAACAACACATTCTATGTAAAAAGAATACTCTCCAGAGTTAATTCAAATTTTGCAAAATTGGTCTTCTGATCACTCTACTTCAATTGGAGAGCTATGCTGTAATATTTTACTTGCATCCTGGGACATAAAGTTTATCTTGATCATTTATTCAAGCCTGAAAATTAAGTACATCTTTTAAATAAAAGTTTTTCTTGTCTTTCAAGTATGCATTTTGGAAATGATGGTTAAAAGTTAAAGATGGAAAAACCAAAGTCCCATACCTAACTTTGCATTCTTAAGTTGTCATTGAAAGTTAGGAGACTTAGAAAATTAGAGCAACTCTGGCAATTACTTTGTGAGTCTTGTCTGCTCTAACAGGGGCTCCTCTTATCTCCCCATCTCATTATTTCTGTTTCAATTCAGTTTTCTAAATGCCCCAAATATGCTAATTTTCTTACCTAAACATCACTGTTAGCCTCTTGACATGACAAAACCTCAGGTATTTAATAAAAATATACTATTCTCATGGATTTTATGTTTTTGCTTTTTTCATCTTTATAAATCTATGTTATTATCTTACTATTTAAGATGAATGTGGTTCTGTATTCAATTTAACATTCTAATTTGCATGCTTTCTTTGAGAGAGGCCCAATGATAGTATGAGTTCTGGCCCTACAAAACTTAGATCTGGCAAACTTTTAAACTTAAAAAGTTGTAAACTTGGGGCTGGAGAGATGGATCAGTGGTTAAGAGCATTGGTTGCTTTTGGAGAGACCCCGTTCCATTCCCAGCACCCACATGGTGGCTAACAACTCTCTATAGCTCCATTTCCAGGGGATCTGACACCCTCTTCTGACCTCTGTGGGCATTGCATGACATGGGTGCACCTACCTACATGCAAGCAATACACTCATACACAAAATAAAAATAACAAATAAAATATTTAAAAACTTGAAAACTTTTACAAAGTTTCATGTACACATTGCTCTACTGCAAACTTATCTATAACCAGTAGAATGATCTTCATCCCCTCAAGGGAAACATGGCCTAGACCATGAAATGTAGTTCTTCCCAGAGCTGAATCCTATCTCTCTACTTGCTGAGTGACCTTGCTGCTCTCCCTCTGTGCCTCTGTTCCCTGTCATGCAAAACCAAACCAACGGGAGAAATTCAGAACAAAATGGTAAGGGCTGATTAGAACCACTTTGTTGGGAGACCTCTGTTATGCAAAAGTCGAAGCCCCTTCACACCGGACAGCTCATGCAGCTCGGGAATGTGCTGCCGGCTCCTTTTCAAAGCAAGGTGCTTTCTGGCATCTTTCCTGTCTCTCCCTTTGAAGTGGCTGCCACAAATGCCCTGACATAAACATGGCCTTTGGCTCTGAAAAGATACCATGCCTTCT